TGTACAGGTTTTACATCTCCCCGCACTCCCTCGCACGCAAACACACACGCACACACATCGACGTACATCTTTTCCCCGCACCGCCCACCCGTTCCTGGCACTATGGTGTGGTCGAGGACCGCAAGTCACCACGTAGCGTCTGCCCATGACAAACATCCTCATCCTCATCCTCATCACCACGGCCGTCACCGCCACGCCCACGCCTGGACGCAAGTCCCAACGGACACAGCTACAGCTGCAGCTTGGCAGCTTGGCAGCTTGGCAGCTTGCAGCTCCATCAGCATGCATCTACTAGATTCTCTCAATGCTGCTGCTACTGCTATTGCTACTGCCGCAACTGCAGCCGCATTTCGCGGACGTTGGGGGGTTAACTCGTAATGCGTGGATGGCCATTCGCATTATAGCACACACACACGCGCGCGCGCACACACACGCACACGTGCAAACACACGCACACGCGCGCGCGTGCATATTCACATGCGGCCCAGTTGAGCAACAGCAGCACATACATACATACACACATGGCGCGGTGTGATGCTATAGGAAAGGCGGCTGCGCGTCCACCTCCTTACAAGGAGGCGTCCTCCTCTCCTCCTCCTTTTCAATCATCACCACCTCCTTAACGGCGATGATTTAGCAACCCGCAACCCGCACCACGCAAAAACAAGAAAATGTGAGCCCACACACATGTAATACGCAAAAGCAACACGCATATACGCATATGCGCATGCACATGCACATGCAGATGCATGCACGTACACATACATATACATATACATATACACACATACATACACACATACATACACACATACACACGCACACGCGTGCAAACCCTGCGTTTCGGGACGATGGGCGTTGCGGCACTAGGCTCCAACCAAGACTGCCACCTTCCCCTTCTGCTTCTTTTCTACAGGCAGCAATCTACGGCTGCTGCTGCTGCTGCTTCTATTTCTTTCCGGGGGGCCTTGTGACAACTTGTCTGGATTCCGAAACACACACGCACGCTCTCCACACGTTCCCCAGCACGCGTGGTGGTCACATAACGTCATGTCAAGTAAGCATTTTCAGCTTTTTGACTTTCCATTGTCCATCTTGTGTCCTTTCTTCCATCACTTAAATGTCTATTAGCACTTCGGAGTTGAATTCACCTCATAGAGCAGTGCAGGTATGAAAGGATCCACCACGACTAATTTACTAATCAACTAACTAACTTACGTGCACTTCCCTCAACCATCCACCTGGACATCGGGACGGGGGGGAAGCACTGCAAGGTACCCGGGGAAAGGCGGGGGAGGGAGAGGGCAAGGCGGGGAAGGAGGGGTGAGGAGAGGGGAGAGCTGAGACAGCAGGAGGCGGTGGTGGGCAAGCGGCGGCTGCGAGGGGGGGGGGGTGTAAGCGGTGAGTTAGTTGCGGACTTCAGGTGAAAGGAAGAACTCGAGTGCGAGTGTGAGCGCGAGTGCGAGTGCGAGTGCGAGTGCGAGTGTGAGTGTGAGCGCGAGTGTGAGCGCGAGTGTGAGCGCGAGTGTGAGTGCGAGTGCGAGTGCGAGTGCGAGTGCGAGTGCGAGTGCGAGTGCGAGTGCGAGTGCGAGTGCGAGTGCGAGTGCGAGTGCGAGTGCGAGTGCGAGTGCGAGTGCGAGTGCGAGTGCGAGTGCGAGTGCGAGTGTGAGTGCGAGTGCGAGTGCGAGTGCGAGTGCGAGTGCGAGTGCGAGTGCGAGTGCGAGTGCGAGTGCGAGTGCGAGTGCGAGTGCGAGTGCGAGTGCGAGTGCGAGTGCGAGTGCGAGTGCGAGTGCGAGTGCGAGTGCGAGTGCGAGTGCGAGTGCGAGTGCGAGTGTGAGCGCGAGTGTGAGCGCGAGTGTGAGTGCGAGTGCGAGTGTGAGCGCGAGTGTGAGCGCGAGTGTGAGCGCGAGTGTGAGTGTGAGCGCGAGTGTGAGCGCGCGTGTGAGTGCGAGTGTGAGCGCGCGTGTGAGCGCGCGTGTGAGCGCGAGTGCGAGTGCGAGTGCAAGTGCAAGTGCGAGTGCGAGTGCGAGTGCGAGTGCGAGCGTGCATGTCGCGTACGGCAGGAAGTTGGGGGACGGACGGCTAGGCACACGGACAGCGACAGCTTAGACAGCCACATCAGCTGGGCAATGCGTGCTGCCGTGTACAGATTGCCGTATACAGACCGCTACGGAGCATATACACATGCACTGTGGGAGAGTGAGACAGAAGGGTCACGGGTTATAGGATGGTTTCGGAGTCGTGAAAGATACGGCAGGTACGGCATCACCTGGCATCCTCCTGTGACCTGCCCTAGCACTTGCTCTGGCCTACCCCACTCACCACATCATAAATGCATTCATGTTATATACACTCATATCATATGCGTGTGTATGAGTTTGTTGTAATATCATAATAATCGCTTATGATCAAATGCTTCGGAACGTTTTGAGGACAAAAAACTTGGCAAAACTTGTATTATCACGGCGAGACAGGAATTGTACCGCGCGGATGTACGGGCGTTCGTTCGTCGTACCCCGCTGGCGCCACGCCGAGGTGCACAGCTCGACTCCCTATCGCGGTAGAGGAGCCCACTCACTCACTCACTCACTCACTCACTCACTCACTCACTCACTCACTCACTCACTCACTCACTCATCACTCACCGTTTCTCGCAAACAATCCGTTATCCGCGTAGTTGCCGGAGGGCTTGTATCGGCAAACAATTACCTTACATCCCCCGGGCCTGAATCGCCCGGGCAGGACTTCGACCTGCTGATCTGCGGTGGCCACACCACACCCCAGAGCCGAACTGGCGCGCCAAACCTGGGGGGTGAAAGCCAGGTTAGGACATAAAGCGGGAACAGTTTGTCATTACAAATTAAGCAAGCGAGGGAGTATAAAGCGAAAATATTACTTTATACTGGAACGAAAGGAAAAATAATCCGAAGCGAAAAATAAAAAATAAATATGTCAATATAAAATTTTACCGAAGAGCAGATTATGAAGGGCAGTCATGTGCATGAGGTTAAGGCACGACGGACGGCAGAGCGTACGACACTCCTCGAGGATTCAGGAGTCCTAACGAGGCTACAATAGGCAAACCCTTACCAGCTGGGAGAAGTGACCGATCCTTCGAGGCCAGTTAACTTCGAACGGTTTCGGCGTTGTGAAGTCGTAGTACTGGACTTCACTGTACCAGCCGTCTACCGCCTCCATGCAGCCGATGTCGGGGGCTGGGTAGGAAATGACCTGGGTGGGCCGCGGGTACGGAGACAGCCACGCAGATAGACAGACAGATGAACAGGGAGACAGACAGACAGAGAGACAGACAGGGCAGAGGGTCAAACACAATTAAGGAGCGGTGTCAGCAGAAGACACGTGCGGGAATGGCAGACGGCTGGATAACGGCTACAACAGCAGCAGTAGCAGCCTTACTGACGCCGCTGCAGCAACACAAAAAAAAGTAGCACAAACGACAACGAAACTAACAGCCGTTGAAACGAAAACAGAGGTTACAGAAACGCCACTAGCAGCACCAGCACCATCACCAGCAGTAGAAGTAATAGTAGGCAGCAGCATCCCAACGCGGCACTTCTCCCGCCATCCCCCCCCCCACACACACACACCCACCCCACCACCACGGGCCTTCATCCACCCCCCCGGCCCCGGACATAAAACCGGCCTACACCTCTCCTCACATCGAGTAGTGTTAGAGGGTAGTGTCCGTGTAATAATAGTTAATCACACGGCAAGGCACAGGGCGGATTCGCTCCGCCAACAAGGCCTGGGCTCTCCTGTCCAAGTAGGCAAAACCCTAAGTTCCCCCTCTCCCCCCTCACTTCCCCCTCTTCCGACTCGGGGGGCTCACTCCGAGAATCTTATAATACTCGTTGCTTGGGAGGCCGTAACGACCTCTGTCTCCCGGCCGTGAAGGGTCCCTTGGTCCCCACCCGGCATGTGGCTGGTTGGTCCAACCCCGGTTCGACCAGCGGTGTCTGTTCGGCTAGGGCGTGAACCCCCAATGAGTGACCACGTCCCCTTTCAATAACCTAGGGGCACACTTCACGAATTCCAAAACGCGTCCGTTCGTGAAACATTCGTGGGTCATCCTCAGTCGATTTACGTCTAGTCTAGCAAGCAGTGACCTGCCGCCGTCGCCAGTGGCCGAATTATCCTCTAATACAGACACACACACACACACACACACACACACACACATAAACACATCCCACACCCCACACCCCACACTCCACACTCCACACTCCACACTCCACACCCCACACTCCACACCCCACACTCCACACTCCACACCCCACACTCCACACCCCACACTCCACACTCCACACACTGGGTCCCACCTGCATGAGGTTCTCCCCAAACGCCTGATTAACGGAATGGTCGAGGGCGCAGCCGCGGGCTGCCAGTTCATCCGCGTAATCCTGTGCTCCCTGAGCCAGGCTGGAGCTCCACTGCAGCGGGGGCGCTCGGTGGACGTACCGGTAGAAGTTCGTGCTGTCGAGGGTGCCCTGGACGTCGGGGCAGTTGGTGCCTGTGTACGACGGTAGTTACACGGAAGGATGTACGGCAAAATCGGAAAAGGGCCGGGGTACGACAATTCCAGATCAGCAGGGGCTCTGTCGCCCCCCCTTGTCTTTAATGAGGGTTTTAGGGTTTATGCTTTCAGGGCTGGGGAGTTGCAGGAAAAGTGGGAGAGGGATAGGGAGGGGTGAAGGGGGGAGGCGGGAGGGTTTTGAGGGGGAAGAGTTGAGGGGAAGGGGGGGATTGTACTGAACACTTTTGGCTGGGGTCCAAAGGAGATCCAGATATGATCAGGTATGTTGTCGTATTCTGTAC